GGGCAAAATCTAAGGACATCTGAATAATGTTTGGACTTTATTTTATAATAATAGTGTGTCAATACTGGTTCATTAATTGTGACAAACGTACCATGCTAATGTAAGATGTTAACTCTATGAGAACTCTCCATTAGCTTCACGATTTTTCTATAAACCTAAAACTATTGCAAAATAAGAATTTTATTTAAAAAGAGTGAATCCTGATCTCATTGATTACTCTTTGAAGATTAGTTTTGTGACAGCAGCAGAGCTCCAGTAGATAATCTGGCGTCACGATTTGGGCTAAACTGAGTGCCCATGAAATAGTGTCTAGGCACAACTCCAAATGAATTATTCAGACCTCCTGGCCACAGAGAAGATTCTTTTCTTTCTTTCTTTCTTTTTTTTTTTTTTTTAATGACCCAGAGACTGGGCATTTCGGAGATGCAAATGCGAAGTAATCCTTTTATGGGAAGTGGATCAAAACTGGGAAAGGAGATACACCAAGGCATGTTGTGGCGACAAGCCTCGAGGAGTACGTGTGTGTGTGTGTGTGTGTGAGATGTCTCACTGGGCTTTCATTGTTCTTTCTTTCTTTTCCTTCCTTCCTTCCTTCCTTCCTTCCTTCCTTCCTTCCTTCCTTCCTTCCTTCCTTCCTTCCTTCCTTCCTTCCTTCCTCCTTCCCTCCCTCCCTCCCTCCCTTTCTCCCTCTCTCTCTTTTTCTTTCCTTCTTTTTTGACAGAGTCTTGCTCTGTCGCCCAGGCTGGAGTGCAGTGGTGCGATCGATTGCAAGCTCACTGCAAGTTCTGCCTCCCGGGTTCACACCATTCTCCTGCCTCAGCCTCGCGAGTAGCTGGGACTACAGACACCCACCACCACGCCCGGCTAATTTTGTGTATTTTTAGTAGAGACAGGGTTTCACCGTGTTAGCCAGGATGGTCTCCATCTCCTGACCTTGTGGTCCCCCCGCCTTGGCCTCCCAAAGTGCTGGGATTACAGGCGTGAGCCACCGTGCCCGGCTTTTCTTTCTTTCTTCTTTCCCTCCCTCCCTCCTTCCCTCCCTCTTTCTCTCTTTCCTTCCTTCCTTCCTTCTCCCTTCCCTCCCCTCCCCTCCCTCCCTCCATCCCTCCCTCCTTCCTTCCTTCCTTTCTCTCTCTCTCTGTCTGTCTTTCCTCTCTTCCTTTCTCTCTCTCTTTCTTTCCTTTTTGGAGACAAGGTCTTGCTCCCTCACCCAGGCTGGAGTGCAGTAGCTCACTGTCACCTTGAATTCCTGGGCTCAAGCAAACCTCCCAACCTCAGCCTCCTGAATAGCTAGGACTATGGGTGCGTACCACTGGCTAATGTTTTTAATTTTTTGTACAGACACGGTCTCACTGTAGTGCTCAGGCTGATCTACAACTTCTGGCCACAAGAGATCTTCCCACCTCCCAAAGTGTGGGGATTACAGGCGTGAGCACACCTGCCTTACACCTTACACCGCGCCTGCCCGCGTTGTGTTTTCTTATTCTCCAATCTGGACCCTGTTCCCCTCATGCTGCTTATGCCGCCCTCTGTATTTGGGATGATTTCTCTTTCTTATCTACTAAGAAACCACCTTCATCTCTCATACTGTCTTCAAATCTCTCCTCTTTCATGACATTTTATTAGGCTGGGGGAATAGGTGACAGTTCTTGTTTGACTCAAACTTACTTTTCCTAGAGTGCAGCATCAGTCTATTGTAAGATAAATTAAAAAAAAAAAAAAAAAAAAAAAGGTTTTTCAAGCCAATCTGTTATCACACAGAGCCTAGTACCTAGTTGTGTTAGATTTTTAAGCCACTCCCAAAAACCAGACTTTTGCTGTGATCATTCTATTGCAACCATTCTCTTCAGGTTCCCAGTGAATCCCACCACCCCCATACTAAATCCAGTGATTAATTTCCTGGTCTCATTTTGTTTGACTTCCCAGCAGCATCTGACTTGGTTGCTTCCTCCCTTCTTTTTGAGTGAATAACTTTCTGTTCCTCCATGATGTCACCTTCCCCTGGTTTTCTGTCTCCTCCAATGGCCACTCCTTCTCAGTCTTTTGGTTGGCATCTGATCTTCTTACCTGTTACTGTTGCATGTCCGCAGCTCAGTGCATGGCTGTCTTCTGTATGTGTGTCCACTCTTTTGGTGCCTGCATGCTGTCCTGTGAAGTTCAGTACCACCTAGATGCTGATGGTGAACTGAGATATGTCTCTGCCTCCTGACCGCATCGTGTTCACATGTCCCACATTGTATCTGATAGCTCTTTCTGAATGTCTAATAGACATCTCCAACTTAACATGCCAAACACACGGCTCCTGATCCCCAAGGAAGTTCAGACTCCTATGAGAAATGTTATTGTATCTATAACTCACCATTCCTCAGCCCCATGTTCCCAAGGCTAAGCTAGATAAATATAGCAAATTGTCATTGATAAAGAGGCAATATACTTTAAAATATAAAATGTGATACATGTATGTTGTATGTTGAAAATGGAATGATATCAGGAACTATCCATATTTTTATTCACTAATAGTAAGATCTAATGAGTGTTTCTTTTGTGCCAGGTACTAAGTGTTTCACACATTTTATGTTATTTAATCCTTTCTGTAATCCTACAGGTAGATATTATGGCCCCAATTTTTTTTTTTTTTTTTTTTTTTTTGAGACAGAGTCTCGGTCTGTCACCCAGGCTGGAGTGCAGCGGCACTCTCTCAGCTCACTGCAACCTCTGCATCCCAGAGTCAAACGATTCTCCTGCCTCAACCTCCCGAGTAGTTGGCATTATAGGTGGTGTACCACCACGCCCAGCTAATTTTTGTATTTTTAGTAGAGACTGGGTTTCACCATTTTGGCCAGGCTGGTCTCGAACTCCTGATCTTAAGTGATCCACGCACCTCAGCCTCTCAAAGTGCTGGTGTTACAAGCATGAGCCACTGCATATGGTCCCATTTTCATATCAGGAAATGATACACAGGGAGGTTAAATAACTTGTCCAAGGTCACAGAACTAGTTAATAATGGCTAAAATTTGAACCCAGACAGCCAACTATATTCTGAAGAGTCATGGTGGAAATTACAGTGCTATATCCCACCCCAGGGTCTTGGGTCTATTCAAGGGAGATTCCATGCATTGTATTCTATTACTAGATGCTGTGGCATTTAACCTAGATGTGTATAGAACCCTCATGCTAAATGCTATGATGTGGTGTCCTCATGAATGGATTAATGCTGTTATTGAGGAGTAGGTTGGTCACCATGAGAATAGGTTTCAAATGAAAGGATGAATTTGACCCGTTTCCTCTCTGTCTCTCTTATGTGTGTGCACATGCTCTCTTGCCCTTCCACCTTCCACCATGGGATGAAACAGCAAGAATGCCCTTGCCAGATGCAGGCCCCTTGACCTTGGAATCCCTAGTCTCCAGAATCATAAGAAAGAAATCTGTTCTTAAGTTCATAATCAGAATAGAGGACAATATGAGCAGAGTGCTGCTTCTGCTAACATAGGTATGGAATGTGGGACAAAGAATTCTCAGAGAGTGAGCCACTGGGAAGTCCTAACTAGAATATGTGGCTACTGTACCTTTCTACTTGACACAGTCCTTGAGAGAGTGAATTAGGCAATGAGTGCAAATCCTTCAGGCTTTTCCCTTGAGTGACTTGGTAGACACTCAGTTCATTGCATCACCAGGGTTCACATCCACAGCTTTGCACAGCTACCCCTTGGTCCCATGCCCACAGAACTGTGAGGCCTGCCTGTTCTTCCCACTGGGGCCTGTTGACCTACTAGCTCCCACAGACACAGACACAAGCCACTGGGCACTGAATTTTAAAAGCTGATAATGTAGCAGCTTTAAGCAGTGAAAAATATTAGTGTGGAAAAGAAAGCTGAGAAATCCAAGTCAGCTCTTGAAAAGCACTCATATCCATAAATACTTTATTGAAACTGTTATTTTCAGAAAATGCCCAATTTCTGTCTGAAAAAAAAGTAATGAAAAGTCTTTTTTTTTTCTTCCAAACATATTGCATTATTTAGTCTAAAAAAAAGGAAAAAACTTCTCAAGGATGGCTCTTTTTGGTAAAAAAATTTTCAAACAAATGAGATCTTTTCTTTTTGGTATTTTTTAAGGATGGGTTTTTTATAAATATTATGCACAATGTTTTTGAAACGTTTCCTGTCCTCAATATACACCAACATACTTTGTGCTAAAAACTTTCCAGAAATATTTTTATTAAACAAAGAAATATATGCAAGACTGTATATGTTCTACTCATTTTGAGATATAACATTCCCCTCCTCATCTTGCCTTTTGCTACATTATTTATCATGCTTTTTCACTTTTGAATAAAAGACCAATTTTTTTAAAAACACGAACTATCCAATCCAAATGTTAACGCTCATCTTAACTTTCTTTTCTTTCTTTGTTTTCTAATCAGCAAACTCTATAAAGCCTGGTGTGTAAATAGGCAGTAAATATAATACTATTAAAAGATAAAACAGAGCAAAGAAACAATATCAGCCGATGTTTTGGGAGTTCCCACTTTTCTTTGTTTGCGATCACAAAAAGGAAAAGAGATATCAGATCTGATATATCTCTTTTCCTTAATTGTTATTTAGCACTGAAGACTAGTGAAAAGTCTAGCCAGATGTTTTAAAATAGAGACAAGATTTCAAGGAGCTTTCTGTTATATTAGCCTTAAGTGAGTTTATCTTTTTAGGGTTTAAATGAGAAGACCATTTCATTGTTTGCTTAATACACTGAAAATCTTTCATTTTCAAGGCAGGATCTCAGTAAAGAGGAATTCATATGCCTGGAAGCCTAAAGTAGTGTTTCACAGTGAAAGCCACTCATACGTGTACATTATGTTCAGGAAATGCAAATGCAACAAGAAGGTGACCCTGATAATGGTTCTTCCAACCGTCACAATTCCTGCCATGCAGCAGAAATTCTGAAGCTCTTAAAAACTGTCAGACTAGGCATGCTTTTTAAAAAAGAGGAACAGAGAAATTACTTACATCTCAGAGTTCCATCGTGAGGCCTTGCCTCTCCACTCCACAGACCTCTGCCTGGCCACGGATCCTTCACCCTGGCTTGACAGCTGGTTTAATCTGCAAGCCAGGGTGGAATGCGTGGTCTTGCACTTGCTGTTCTTTTCCGTCTTCAGAGGGCCAGCGGCCTGGTCATTTCCATGGCAACCAGGAGGAAGCGGCTGGCCTACCAGTCTCATTAGCTACACGCAGGAGAGAACCTGCCTTGGTGACTTCTGGCCACTCTTTTGGGTTTCTAAACTGGGAAGTTTCTAGAAGAAACTGAGGAGACTGTTGCTGTAGGCTGATCCAAAGGATTGACACAAATGGAAGAAATTCTACTTTAGCAGGAAATTGAATGGATTAAATGTAGAGTACGGAGACTCCTTGATACTTTTACTTTCATGATTTATTCCACCTTTTTTGGTCTGATGAATTGTTACTTACGGTAAATGCCTGCATTACTATAAAAAGTGTCCCATCGTGGTTGTTCTAAAGGAAAAAAAAAACTCATTTGAACTCCAAAGATAGACATTATTCTCTCTCTCTTTTTTTTTAAGTTCATTTAAAAAAAATAAAATGAGAAGCCACAAAACCAATAAATAGGTAAAAATTATTCTATGTACATTAACTGATGTCTTAGTCCTTGTAGGCTTCTACAAAAAAATACCATTAGTTGGGTAACTTACAAACAACACATTTATTTCTGTAGGCTGGGAAGACCAAGATCAAGGCAGATTTGTTTTCCGGTGAGGGTCTACTTCCTGGTTCATAGATGGTACCTTCTAGCTGAGTCCTTAAATGGTGGAAGGGAGACAACTGTGGTTTTTCAGCTTCTTACAAGGGCACTAATCCCATTTATAAGGGCTCCACCCTCATGACCTAATCACATTCCAACATCTCCACCTCCTATGCTATCACATTGAGGATTAGGTTTCAATATATGTATTTTAAGGGAAGATAAATACCTGGGCCTTAACAACTGATGAGGTCTCACTAAATACGGGAAAAAAAGATAAGGTAGGGGACCCCAGTCTCCAGGCCACAGACTGGTACCAGTCCACGCTACAGCAGGAGGTGAGCAGTGGGTGAGCAAGAGAAGCAGCTTCATCTGTATTTACACCGCTCCCTATCACTCACATTACCACCTGAGCTCCACCTCCTGTCAGATCAGCAGTGGCATTAGATTCTCATAGGAGCAAATTGAGAATGCTATTCTATTGTGAACCATTATGAACTGCACATGCAAGGGATCTAGTTTGCATGCTCCGTCTGAGAATCTAATGCCTGATGATCTGATACTGTCTCCCATCACCCCCAGATGGGACAGTCTAGTTGCAAGAAAACAAGCTCAGGGCTCCCACTGATTCTACATTATGGTGAATGGTATAAGTATTTCATTATATATTATAATGCAATAATAATACAAAGTGCACAATAAATGTAACGCACTTGAATCATCCCCAAACCATCTCCTACCCCTGCCTGTCTGTGGAAAAATTATCTTCCATGAAACCGGTCTCTGGTGCCAAGAAGGTTGGGGACTGCTGAGATAAAGAAAATTCTTGCTAATTAAAAGCATTTAAGAGACTGGAGCAATTGATTTGTAATTACCCAGATACAGATTCTCCAATATGTTAAAGAAGAGAGCACCTCAGTAGGGATATTCATTCATTCATTTATTATTCATCTAGTGAATCCTTACCATACACATGCACTATGCCAGCAGATTTAAGGGGCACAGAGATCAATGTCATGGTTCTTGTCTTTAGGGAAGTTATACTATAGAAGGGGCAATTATATCAGTTGTATCTGGGAAATGTTTGAAGGGAGGTATAGACACAATGCAGGGGAGTCTCAGTGAAGGTCAGCCTTTGCCAGGGAGACTGGTGAAGTCCTTGTGGAGAGGTAGTTTTGGATCTAGGCCTTAAAGGATGGCTGGGATCTGTGTGGTCAGTTGTGGGGGAAAGGACAACAATCCCTAATGGAGTGATTCTTTGATGAATTGCAGATCCAAGCTGATGGATAAATCCTTCCTCCTTTCTGTACCCAGAGAGCCTGACACAAATGGCTTCTCGGGTGGCCCACAGGATAAAGGAACTCAAGTAACTAAGAAAATTGCTGGAGCAAAGGTTTGGAGGTGGAAGAGTCCCAGGCCTATTCAGCCATTTGGAAAGCCAGTGAATCACAGCCAGGATAAAGGGAATTGAGAATAGAGGCTGCTATTGTTTAGTGATCAGTTTCAGCAAAGCACATGTATAAATTCTACCATGTGAGAACAGCAAAGTGGATCTTGGATCAAACCTTGAGTCTGTTACCTTCTTGTACATTATTTAAACTTTATGAGCCTCAGTTTCCTTATCTATAAAGTGGGTACAATAATACTTTGTTGAAAGGTAGAACTGAGGAAAAAATGAGATAATATATGTGCACTGGATGCCTGAAGATGAGGGAGGGAAAGGCTGGCCAATGATACACTGAGTGCCCCAACTTTCCAGAGCAACTGTGGCTAATCCAATGGTTTGGCGTACTCAACCTCTGTTTCTACATCTTTCTCTCTTGCCTGCCTCTACTGTAGAGACTGGAAATCTCTATAATTCAACACACCAGAGTCTCTTGAAGCTGAGGTTTCAGATGGGATTTAAGTTTTATTATTTATACTTGACTCAGAACGAAGTCATGTGGAGAGAGGACCCTGAGACTTTGGGAATGAATTAAGTGAGGAGAGAGAGGAGAGTACTGGGAATCTCTTGCTGGCCAGGGTCTCAGCATATATGGCACGGTCTGTGGTGGGGGTGGCCTTCTGACTGAGTTGTGGACTGGTTGTGGCCCATGTGGCATGGCTCAAGAGCTGAGAACTGTGGCACTAACTTCCTGTTGGAGAATGTGGCCTCTTAATTCAGCAACTTCCTGATGGTGGATCAGGTAGTAGCTCCCATGATGGTCAATTTCTATGATGACTTTCAGAGTTCAGTCTAGAATCCATTTCTTCAGTCCTTCCAATGACTCAAGGAAGTATCTGCACATCTGAAGAAATTCCTGGTTGGTCTAAACCAGCTGGAGTAGACTCTGTTGCCTGTAACCAAGAACCCTGCATTATATACTAGTGCTTTCATTCTGGCCAATACAAGGTGACAGAGTTTGGATATGTGTCCCCGCCCAAATATCATGTTGAATTGTAATCCCCAATGTTGGAGGTCGGGCCTGATGGGAGGTGATCGGATCATATGGGTGGATTTCTCTTGAATGCTTGATACTGTCCTCACGATAGTGAGTTCTCATGAGATCTGGTTGTTTAAAAGTGTGTGGCACTTCCCCACACCTATTCCTGCTTCCCCCATGGGACACACCTGCTCCCCATTCACCTTCTCCACAATTGTAGGTTTCCTGAGGCCTCTTCAGAAGCCAAGCAGATGCTGCTGTGCTTCCTGTTCAGCCCACAGAACCATGAGACAATTCAACCTCTTGTCTTCATAAATTACCTGGCCTCAGGCATTTCTTTATAGCAAGGTGAGAATGGCCTTGCTATAAAGAAGCCACTTACAAGGTAAGTGGGAGTTTGCTGGTATTGTCTCTTCTACTCCTTTATTTTAATAACTAAGATAAGCAGCATAAGGTATTTAGTGTAAACCACGCACAAAGAAGGCAGCCAGAAATGGTAGCTATTATATTGATTACTCCTTGTCACTTTCTCTATTTATGACCCAGATGCCTTCCAGGACCTCTTGCTTAGTGGGGTTCCTGGCTGAAGGCAAAGAGTGTGAAGAGCCAGGTACTTCCCTGGAAACTTGAAGGCCAAACTCGCAGCTGCCGATGGAATGTGGCTCCGTCTCTGTATATGGCATGTTAAACATTTACCCCAGGTTTTATATCTCCTTGTCTTTTTAAAGCGTTTACTTCCACTGGCTCTTTGTGTTAACTGGGTCACATAGTTTAAGTTGATTTAGCAGCAATGAGTATTGGGAAGGTTAATAAAACCACACCTCAGACTGCCTGTTTTGTTCAGCTGTGGAGCCAACGGGTGGCGGACAAGTGTTTGTTCACGATGAGATGGAATTCTAGCTTTGTCCTTGACCAATTTGTTTTCTTTCTTCCTTTTATTTTTATCATAAAAGCAATGCAAGTTTCTGATAGCACATTCAGATAATATCCAATGTATTAAACAAAAGTGAAAACCCACACCCTCCTCTACAACTGATCTTCCAGAAATAACGTCTGGTGTAAGTCTGCAGTGAAGCAAATAGTGCTTGATTGTTCACTAACATGTGTTCCTTAAAATCTTTTACCTTGGGCCTGGCATGGTAGCTCATGTCTGTAATCCCAGCACTTTGGGAGGCTGAGATGGGAGGAGCACTTGAAGACAGGAGTTTGAGACCAGCCTGAGCAACATAGTGAGACACTGTTTCTGCAAAAAATAAAAAACTAGCCAGGTGTAGAGGTGCCCACCTATAGTCCCAACTACTCAGGAGGCTGAGGTGGGAGGATCTCTTGAGCCCAGGAGGTCGAGGCTGCAGTGAGCCAAGATTGCACCATTGCACTCCAGCCTGGGCGACAGAGCAAGACCCTGTCTCTGAAAAAGAAAAAAAAAAAAAATCTGTTACCACAAGACTTCAAATTCCACTGTTTCTGACACCCTCTCTTCATGGATTCTCATCTGGAGTCTCTACCACCCCCTACTTAACTGCCTCCAAATCACTACCAGTGTCTTCTATTACTGTTTCTTCCATCCGGGGCAGCTTCAGGAGTCATCTCAGGCTCTCTCGTTCCTTCTCAACTTCCCTTCCCCTTCCTTCTTTGGTAACTTCAACATCTGTATTCTCAGCTCGCTGCAGGATGTCAGCACCCATGTCCTCACCTCACGGCCTTGCTGGGCCCCAGAGCTTGTGCAGGGCTCTGCGTGTGTTCCTTCTCCCTGCTCCATCCTCACAGTGTCTCTAGATATCAGGGCCTCTGGCCTTACCTCTTCCATCCACCCTCGGCTCTCCCTGCCCTGCTGCATCCACACTGCCCTGACCCCTACCAGGGTGACCCCTACCTATGACCTTTGCCCTCTGCAAATCCACTCTGGGTCCTCTCATGGTCTGCTTC